CCTCCTCAAAGAGAGACTCCTGAAGGACGGGGATTCAAACCAGGAACCTCCTCAAAGAGAGACTCCTGACAGACGGGGATTCAAACCAGGAACCTCCTCACAGAGAGACTCCCGTCAGACGGGGATTCAAATCAGGAACCTTCACACAGAGAGACTCCCGTCAGACGGGGATTCAAACCAGGAACCTCCACACAGAGAGACTCCCGACGGACGGGGATTCAAACCAGGAACCTCCACACAGAGAGACTCCCGACGGACGGGGATTCAAACCAGGAACCTCCTCACAGAGAGACTCCTGAAGGACGGGGATTCAAACCAGGAACCTCCTCCCAGAGAGACTCCCGTCAGACGGGGATTCAAACCAGGAACCTCCACACAGAGAAACTCCCGTCAGACGGGGATTCAAACCAGGAACCTCCACAGAGAGAGACTCCCGTCAGACGGGGATTCAAACCAGGAACCTCCACACAGAGAGACTCCCGTCAGACGGGGATTCAAACCAGGAACCTCCTCACAGAGAGACTCCCGTCAGACGGGGATTCAAACCAGGAACCTCCTCACAGAGAGACTCCCGTCAGACGGGGATTCAAACCAGGAACCTCCGCACAGAGAGACTCCCGTCAGACGGGGATTCAAACCAGGAGCCTCCGCACAGAGAGACTCCCGTCAGACGGGGATTCAAACCAGGAACCTCCACACAGAGAGACTCCCGTCAGACGGGGATTCCAACCAGGAACCTCCTCACAGAGAGACTCCTGAAGGTCGGGGATTCAAACCAGGAACCTCCTCACAGAGAGACTTCTGAAGGACGGGGATTCAAACCAGGAACCTCCACACAGAGAAACTCCCGTCAGACGGGGATTCAAACCAGGAACCTCCACACAGAGAAACTCCTGTCAGACGGGGATTCAAACCAGGAACCTCCTCACAGAGAGACTCCCGTCAGACGGGGATTCAAACCAGGAACCTCCTTGCTGTGGGGGGACAGGACTAACCCCTGCACCACTATGCAGCTCTGACACAAATCAGACACTTAAACACAGATGACATCATTTCCCCAGCAGGGGGCAGCATGTGTTAAAGTCTGCAGCTGCAGGGTTGGATTTCCAAACTGAGCAGAAAACATCCAAATAAATAAACGGAATAAGTAAAGGAAACATTGCAGGCCAGTTCCCGCTCACAGCGGATGTTAATGATGATGATGTAATAAAGTATGAGTATTATGCAGAGGTTCAGGTCACACCTGTGCTGGAGACACTAATAATCACACCTGAGAGATCTCAAATAGGAAGTGGATGTTCCGGTTTAGATGCAGCTCAAGGTATTTTAGGAATCTGCCGCCTCTCTCTCCACGGAGAGCTTTCTTCTTCTGGGGTTTTTACTGAAGCTGGAGAGGAAACGTGGACTGAGTATGCAGAGAGGCTGGCAGGTCACTGTTTCAAATGAAATCTTCAAGAATAAAGAAGACCAGAAGGAACTCTCTGTGCAGCGCCCTGCAGAGGCTTTAGACTCCGCACTGCTGAATGTCCCCTTCTACATCCTGGCACTCTAAAGGCTTCAAAGAGACGTATGTGTAAATCTGTCTCTATAAGACGTGAATCATCTTTAGACAGGTTGACTTCCTGTCATGAAGGAGTCAGACTGAGATCATGATGTTTACCTGCTGCTCTCTTAAAGGGACACAGCTCACATTTAGTTCAGGTACTCTACGAGTCAGGGTGTCTCATAGACCCACAGTGTTGATGCGTCTCTCCTGCTAAAGCCGGACGTTTGGAAGTCTGGTGTGCAGGAAAAGGCCGAGCTGCTAAAACACATAACAATCCTCTGGAGGTGGCGGGAACAATTCACATTTCTCTTCCTGTTTCCAGCTTCCTTCAAAGCTGGAAAATCACTGCACAGACAAGTGTTCAAAGATCTGCACCGACCTATCTCTGATATTACAGTGATCTGGTTTCAGTGTGCTCATTGCACTAAACCTGTTGAATCCAGACACACCTCTACAGAACCCTTCAAGCTGTGAATGAGGAGTCATGTGGGACTAGTTTAGGTGTATCCGTGTTTCTCTAAGTCCAGGTTTTCTGATGAAGGCTCGCTCTGACGATCTGTTGTTAAAAACACCTCAGACAAGTTACAACAGTGCTGCTGCTGCAATCACGTGACGATGAGGGAGGAACTCTGGGAAAGAAGCTCCCACACAGAGCTCTCAGGAGAAGAGCGCGCTCGTATGACCATGACTTCAGTGTTTGGTTTCACAAACATCTTCATTTAAAGTCCATCATGGTCATCAACCAGTAAATCAGTAAACAGGTGTGTCATCACAAGCCACAGCCCTGAACACTTTAGAAATCCTTTCCCAACAGTTTCAGAGATAATCCTGGATCAGGATCAGGATCAGGATCAGACACACAAACATAAAATCTGGATTTTCTCAATCTTTTATTCTCCTTCTCGTTTCAGTTTCAGTAATTTTCCACCGACGTGTTCGCTCAGGCCTCGTCTCTCTCTTTCTTCACCTCCTCCTCTTGTCTCTACACGTTGGTTCACCTTTCTTCATTCCTCCATCGTGACTATTGTCTTTAGATGGCCTTCAACACATACAATAAAAATAACACTCAGACCTTCATTTAGTCTGAGACACATTTAAAGCAAATATTATTTATAAGATATTTGACTATTACCAGGAAACCCTGAGGTAGCACGACCACACATCCCCATTAGACCGGGAACATCCTGTTTTCCAGCTCTGTGTCCCAAACCCCCAAATATCTATAAACACAGTTCCTGTCCCGCTTTTAACCAAAACAATACAGAAACAGACCGGTAGATAGACCGGCGGCGCTAATCAAGCTAACGTAACAGAGGATACATTAAGAGAGCCTGATAGCTGCGATGAGGGATGCCACATTATACAAACTAACATTACGGAGGTTTTGAATTGTCAGGAGTAACTGCAGCTGTAAGAGAGAATTAAGACGAATGAAGGTGCTAAAATAAGAATATCACATGTTTAGTAGAATATACTTTAATAAAAGTACCAAAGTATAATCAGAAAAGTTAATTAAAACTGATAATGAAGCGTTGAAGCTGGTTGGGGAGGACCTGATTTTTGACTTCATGAACATTTACATTTATTTGAAACACTCTTTTCTTAATCGATAGAGGTCTCCTTTAGAAATGAAGCTGTCAGGTAAATGTGTTATAACAATCATAATGAAATGTCCTCCTTTAACTGCTGCTGCTTCAGATTAAAAAGGAAAACACTCGGGTAAAACAGCTCAAGTGTTGTTCTTGTGTAACTGTGTAAGATCTCTCTGGTCGTCAAAAACACTCAACACTGTAATGGATAAAAATTCACCGCTTCTGAAAAGTGGGTGTGATTTCAAATTAAGAAATGTTTGATGATCGTCTTGAGTGAGTCACACAGAGAGAGATTTCTTAATCTGAGATCCTCCCAGCAGCTCCGACTCCCTGAAATAGTCTGTTTGTTTCTTCACAACAGAGAGACGGTTTTACACAATCACAGTGAAGCAGCCGGACAAATAGAGAGGTTAAAAGTACGAGGCTCAGTTTTAGTTTTATTCTTCACAAAGATTTGTGTATCATTGGTCTGAGGAGAGAAAGGACCGATAAAAATCTAAAAGTGTCGGGATTAAAGTATCCAGATCTTCAATAAAATGTAGATCCTGATAGCTGTGATGAGGCAGGCGACGCTAATAAAGCTAACGTAACGGAAGCTACATGAAGAGAGCCTGATAGCTGCGATGAGGCAGGCGGCGCTAATCAAGCTAACGTAACAGAGGATACATGAAGAGAGCCTGATAGCTGCGATGAGGGATGCCACATTAATTAAGCTAACGTTACGGAGGTTTTGAATTGTCAGGAGTAACTGCAGCTGTAAGAGAGAATTAAGACCGAGGTGCTAAAATAAGAATATCACATGTTTAGTAGAATATACTTTAATAAAAGTACCAAAGTATAATCAGAAAAGTTAATTAAAACTGATAATGAAGCGTTGAAGCTGGTTGGGGAGGACCTGATTTTTGACTTCATGAACATTTACAATTATTTGAAACACTTTTTTTTAATCGATAGAGGTCTCCTTTAGAAATGAAGCTGTCAGGTAAATGTGTTATAACAATCATAATGAAATGTCCTCCTTTAACTGCTGCTGCTTCAGATTAAAAAGGAAAACACTCGGGTAAAACAGCTCAAGTGTTGTTCTTGTGTAACTGTGTAAGATCTCTCTGGTCGTCAAAAACACTCAACATTGAAAATTCACCGCTTCTGAAAAGTGGGCGTGATTTCAAATTAAGAAATGTTTGATGATCGTCTTGAGTGAGTCACACAGAGAGAGATTTCTTAATCTGAGATCCTCCCAGCAGCTCCGACTCCCTGAAATAGTCTGTTTGTTTCTTCACAACAGAGAGACGGTTTTACACAATCACAGCCGGACAAATAGAGAGAGGTTAAAAGTACGAGGCTCAGTTTTAGTTTTATTCTTCACAAAGATTTGTGTATCATTGGTCTGAGGAGAGAAAGGGCCGGTAAAAATCTAAAAGTGTCGGGATTAAAGTATCCAGATCTTCAATAAAATGTAGATCCTGATAGCTGTGACGAGGCAGGCGACGCTAATCAAGCTAACGTAACGGAAGCTACAGAAAGAGAGCCTGATAGCTGCTGTGTGTGTGTGTGTGTGTGTGTGTGTGTGTGTGTGTGTGTGTGTGTGTGTGTGTGTGTGTGTGTGTGTGTGTTAGTGGTTAACAGAATTGGACCAATCAAAAACAGTTCCTGTTCTTCTAGTTCCTCCTCAGGTGACACGTACCTTACTGAGCGTGTCCGGGGGGATGCCGTCCAGGTGTAGGTTAGCTCCGCCCATTCTGGCTTTCTTTGACACCTGTGTGATGTCACCGTTAGCTTCTGTGCTGCTCATCTGGACAGAAGAGGTTAAAGGTTAATATGGTCTTAAATGACGCTCAAATATTTGTCTTTCTCTGACAGCTGTGTTTGGACTCACCTTCAATCAATATTATTTTTACAGCCGGAAGTGGATCGAGTTATTTTACTACCAGCAGTCATCATGGCATCTGTCTTACTTTTAGCAACTTACTTTTAGCAACGTTACTGCTAGCGGCAGTTTTAGCAACATTAGGCGTTAGCGGTGTTGGTTTGACCCTTTGGCTCGAATGAAAATATCTCAAGAAATATTGAACCATTGAGGTTAAAGTTGGTTCAGATATTCAGTTTGTCCAATGGATCAGTCTGTGTGACTTTGAAGATTTAAAAAACTTTAACCACAACCAGCGTTAAAACGTCAAAAAAAAGGCCCGTCCCAAATCAAGACTAGAAAGGTGTTTCTGTTAGAGACCCTGATGTTCAGTGTTGATCAGTTTGGGGGTCAAATCAACGAGACACAAAGATAAAGATGAACGTCAACATCTGTCCAAGAAAGAGAAAAATGCAAGAATGCATCCCAGCCGTGCAGCAGGTCGGCGTGTTAAAGGAATTTTTTTATTATCATCCTCATTTTGTTCTCAGTTAAATATTCTCTCTGTGTAAAAATACAGATTCAGAGTCTTCCCTGTCCTCGCTGTGCACCAGTTTGATTTGAAAGTGATTGACGCCCTGTCTCGTATCGGCATGGTCATTTTGACGTCTGAAGGTCATGTCAGCATCTGAAGGTCATCAAAGCTGGGCGGCCTATCAGGACAAAGACTCTGCTTGATTCAGAGGATCAGATTTAAAGGGCCCATATTATGCTTTTTCTGGTTTTATATGCCCTTTAGTGTGTTTTCCATGTGTCCTGTGCATGTTTAGGCACATCTATGTGCAGAAATTCAAAGTCCGCGGATACACGGCTTCTCCTACGTCCTCCTGTTATAGTAGAGGAACAAACCCCCAAAAGGCTTTAGTTTTCGAGATACCTCTACCTGAGGTAGAACAAAGCACAACCATATTTTTCATAACTTGAACATGTCGAGTTACAGTGGTTGTATAAAAATATTTTACTGCAAAATAACTTTTTTTGGACGTTTTATGCATCTTACCAAAAAACGAAAATAGGTCAAATTAGGGCTTCTCCAAAAGAGACAGCTCTAGCCTTATCACATGTATCTCTGGGAATCAGAATCAGAACAGGACAGGATGTTCACAGATAGTTATTAGTTTCAATTATGCAAAGTTTTTTATCAATACCATTTTCAATTTTTCAATTTTTCACACTTAAACACACATGTAGCTTAGGCAGAAATTGAAAATTGAAACAAAAATTCAAAATGTATGTGTATCAAAGTCTGTCATTTTTTAAGTAAGGACATCAAACATTAAAATATGTCATTTGTATCTTCTTTAGACTGTTATCTCAACATAAAAGCAAGTTATTTGACTTTTCACTTGACCCTATGCTGTCACCAGCCCCTAACAGGAAACTAGTGCAGCCAGGATTTCAGGGCGACCTGGTACAATGGGGCCCTATGGATGTGTATGTGGGAGGAGGTGGCCACAAGCAATAGATTAAGACTTAACAACAACACACAATATAATTGTATTCTGTAATATATATATATATATAATTAAACATTTTATAGTTATTCCTAATACATTTTGTCTCATATTTTCTATCTTACATATGATTTATATGATGACACTCAGAGTCAACCCGCTGCTTTCAACAATATTGTCACCGATGACATTGTTTCTATTTCATTCTAAAAAATTAAAGCATTGTCTTGCCATCAGTTGTGAAATATTAATGAACTAAAAAACAGTATTGATATATATAACCTTGAGTTCTTATAAATTAAATATACTTCAAATAGTCTATTTGTATATCAGCTATAGAGCCTGTTGTAGTTTTTTTTATGTATTTCAGTCATATAAAGATGGTGTGTAGTCACCATATCTCATGCTTTTAAGAAGAACCCCAGTTACTCCAGAGGATACACTGGATGAAGGGATAGTTTTTATAATACCCTAAGTATGATAAAGTGTTAAAAAAAAGCTACAATAGCTATTTTTGTTGAATGATTTATCAGGCAACAAATGGAGCTGGGATACAAAACCTTTGTGTCACACTAAGCATCCCCTGGGGACAAAGTTTAACCTCTTATCTCACAGGAGCTTTAAGAAAACAATTGCTGCAGAAAATAACCATCAACAAAGTCAACCAACCAACCAAAAATAACACAACCATGTCAAGACATCACAAACAAATCAAGGCATCACCAAATCAAGACACCATAACTATTAGCTGTAGCATTAGCCGCATGTAACGCTCAGTTCTAGCCCCCCTTGATAAAAATTTGTCAGTGCAGCATCATTGTCAGTGTGAGATCACTGAGCAAGCCCTGCAGCTCATGTTGAAATTTCCGAGAAGCGTGCTGAGCAACTGACCAATAACGACAGAGCGGATCGGCAGACCAATCAGAGCAGACTTGGCCCACGTGGGGTCTAACAGTGTGGGCTCAACAGAGTGCAGCTGACGGATTCAGAGCGGAGAGGGAGCAAGGAGGAGCAGTTCATGAAAACAGACACTTTTTTTAGAACTTTAGCTATTGTGAACGTACAAAAGTAGGAACATAGATTAAATATATGAACCCCAAAAAGGGCATAATATTGGATCTTTAAGGTTGTAAACTTCTGAAAAATCTCTTCTTCTTTTTAGGGAAATGGAAGTAACTACTGTCAATAAATTACCCAGAATCCTTTTCCTCTGCCTGTCATGTGGTCATATAAAGTAAACTGCTGATTTAAAGCATTCAAACAGGAAAGTCCAGTGACGGTCTAAAGGGGAACAAGTCTTTACTTCCAGCTTTTCAGTCTGAGGTTGGCAGCATCAGAGACCTTTGTTAAAGGGAAAGTTCCCAATCAGAAGGTCAGGAGGTCAACATGAGAGCTGCTCCTCCTTTAGGAACTGAACTGATCTGAACTTGACCTCAGGGGGTCGTGAGACATCACAAGTACAATAATGAGTGAAGTGAAACTTCATTTAGTGGTCGGTCAAAGTTTTGATGACTTATATTTACAGATTTTTTAAAACACAGTGAGCGCACCCGTGCTGTTGGGGGTTCGATGACATGCTCAAGGGCATCTCGGCAGTACTCAGGAAGTGATCTGGCACCTCTCCAGATACCAGACCAACTTTAGTCAACACCGAGACCTGAACCGGCGACCATCCAGTTCCCAACCCAAGTCCCTGCAGTGTGAGGGACGCCCCTACAACAGGACGACCAGCGAGAAAGACCAGTTAAAAACAACGTGTGGTGCTGTTGCTCCTTCACCACCCGAGTCTCAGCAACACTGAAGCCTGGGCTCAGATATTTGGAGGAGAGTAAAGAGACTGTTCTCTAAAGGGAACTCTGCTCACAGGTTGACGCTCAGCCAGGTGAGAGAATCAGCGTGAAACACACACCTGTAGAGACGGTCCAACGACAATATCGAGCAGGTGGAAACATAGAATCTAAATCATCAGCATAGAAACAGAGACCCAGACACTGAAACTCTCGTTAACTCTTTACTTTAATGTGAAGGCGTCATAAAATGAATCTGTCATCTGCTGTTATTTTCTTTGTGTCAAACACTGAAGATGTGACAAACACTGAAGATGTGACAAACACTGAAGATGTGACAAACACTGAAGATGTTAAACACTGAAGATGTCAAACACTGAAGATGTGACAAACACTGAAAACGTGACAAACACTGAAGATGTTAAACACTGAAGACGTGACAAACACTGAAGATGTGAAACACTGAAGATGTCAAACACTGAAGATGTGACAAACACTGAAGATGTTAAACACTGAAGATGTGACAAACACTGAAGATGTTAAACACTGAAGATGTGACAAACACTGAAGATGTGACAAACACTGAAGACGTGACAAACACTGAAGACGTGACAAACACTGAAGATGTTAAACACTGAAGATGTGTCAAACACTGAAGATGTGACAAACACTGAAGATGTTAAACACTGAAGATGTCAAACACTGAAGATGTGACAAACACTGAAGATGTTAAACACTGAAGATGTCAAACACTGAAGATGTCAAACACTGAAGATGTGTCAAACACTGAAGATGTGACAAACACTGAAGATGTGACAAACACTGAAGATGTGACAAACACTGAAGATGTGACAAACACTGAAGACGTGACAAACACTGAAGAAGTGAAACACTGAAGAAGTGACAAACACTGAAGACGTGACAAACACTGAAGATGTGACAAACACTGAAGATGTGACAAACACTGAAGAAGTGAAACACTGAAGAAGTGACAAACACTGAAGACGTGACAAACACTGAAGAAGTGAAACACTGAATGTGTGACTGCAGACGAGCTCCAGCTGATGATCACACTGTTTGTATGTTTCTGGGTGGAGTGTCCCTTTGAGATCATGTTACAGGAGACACCTGAGGCTCTTTGGCCCCGCCCACTGATGGCGTCAGTGATTAGTTGATTTGAATAAGTCTGCAGGCAGCATCACTCAGACTGTCAGAGAATGAGTGTGTTTCCATGAATGACAACCGTCACTTCACCTACACCTGAATGAGGTGTGTTTGTGTAAGCCATGCCCCCTTTATAAAACCTGCAGCAGCTCTAGAATAACTCTGAAACTTTAAGATGAAAGAAAACTTTAAAACAGGACCTGAAGCCGAGCTGACAGCAGGTGGGGAGCTTTCTGAATCACAGAGCATCTAAAGGTTTAAAAGTCTCTGGTAATCAAACTAAACTGGTCTGGACTCAAGGACTGAAACAAATCACCACCACTACAAAGTCTGAACCACACAGGTAGAATTTAGACTTTAGTTTTCAGGCTCAGTGAAAGTAGAAGCAGGTTTGAGATTTTAGGCATCATTAGAGATAAAAACTTTAAAGTAAGTAGTGAAAAATAATCATTCTGACTTTGAGATAGTTTGAAACCTGAAACCCAGCCGAGCACCTCCGGAGGGTTCGGGTCGAATGAAAACGTCTTACCTTCGCGTCCTGCACTGCGTCG